GTGATTTTACTTAGATATATTGGTGATATTTGCTTAATACATATTGAGCTATGATGAAACATGAGTTTTATATAACAAAATATAAATGGAGACTTGTATTAGATGTTCAAATATATTTGTTAGAAACTGATATTCATGGGGTTTAAGTTATCATTAAAGAATAATGTAGACACATACCAATCTGACATTTGATCTTTAGTTTGAACAAAGTATAATTAAGTTACTTTTTTAGTGAATTATCAACCTAAGACGAGAATAAGCTATATTTTCCGAATATTTTTAATCTGACCGTGTCTGAGCTTTTGACTGATTGTTTTATGTGCACATTTTTTCTTATTGAGTAGTGAGTGTAAAACATTTTTGTTGTAAATGTGATAACTTCAGTAAAATACAAAAATTGTACACAACTTTCTTGTCTATAGATTTTATTAAAATCTTACATACAAGTTCTATCTTTGTGACATGCAGTAATTACAAACAAGAACTATTAGAGTTCATCTGATATATAACAACACAGATTAATATATGTGATTATCTTTGTATATAGTATATGTGAAGTGAAAGATAATACATCACACGCTACTCTAACATTGCTTCAAAATCTCAATATCTATGTGAGAAAAATATCTGTTTTGAAATGTAAAACAGTTAATAAGCTAGTTTTCCTGAGCCTACAAACAAAATTCTTCATGATAAAATACGCAAAAGTAATCAGCAAAATAACAGATGAATCAGATGTGTCTGACCTATTTTCACAAGACATCGATACCAGGATTAGAAACCTGCTAAATTTGTGTTCCTTAGAACTTGTTAAAGTCGAAAGGTTCTCTGTAATAACATGATGTAGTGGCAGACTATAAACGAGAGTATTAAAATATCTATTGTCTGAAACTCCAGCACAACGTGAATAGTCAATTTAATTATGAGCATGATATTTTTTGTAGTTTCTAAATGAAGAGCGTTCTATGATCACATTAGATCGAATCACGTTGGGGAATGTCTTTTATGTTTCGTTTAAGATGATTTATTCAATTTCACTAATCACATGCCAGAACTCTTGGATATACCACAGATGTTATTACATTGGACTGTAGGTATACTAAGAAATCGGCATAATGTTTTTCAAATGAAGGTTCATCCAGATGATAGAGAAGACGATGGATATTAATCTAAAGAAAATGATTTTGTTTAAACAATTGAAATTTAGAGGTCATATTCATGACCAGCACATCCCGAGTTTGTTTGTTTGTTTCTTAGAATATAGCCACATCGGGCTATCTGCTGTGTCCACCGCGAGGAATCGAACCCAGAAGTTTAACTCCGTAAAATTACTGCTATGCCACCAAGGGACTAAACATCGTGACAAAGCTATGATTGCACATAGCACCTTTCTCTCTAATAAAATCGAATGTTTTGTCAATGTTAGGTTCATTCACCAGGCCCCCCAGTGGCACAGCGGTATGTCTGCGGACTTACAACGCTAGAATCCGGGTTTCGATACCCGTGGTGGGCAGAGCACAGACAGCCCTTGTGTAGCTTTGTGCATAATTAAAAACAAACAAACAATCATTCACCAGATATTTTTCCTTTTACAATGCATAGTACTATGTACACGCACTCCCCCCCTCCCTTACTTATGGTGACATCGTCCATACTTCTCTACTCCTAATTTTACTTTTGCACAGCTTAAAAAGTTTAAAAGTTGTCCCACACACGCACACACATTACTCTTTTAATTATATAAATATAAGCTTTTAACGTAATTTAATTCATAGGAAATTGACCACAAATATATTAATAATATACTCATACTACAAAGTCAATGGTATAACAAAAACACTACACTTCTATATAACAAATGAAGTATCTGCTTCATAAGACGAGGTCACGCAAATCTAAAAAAAAATTCTCTGTTAACATGGTGACTGATTTTTCACACTATTTTTGCTCTATAACTCAGTCAAAAATGATCGAATTTTGATGAAACCTGATGGACATATGATAACGACAGATAAACGGACAAATTTTCATATTTTTTAAGAGCTTAATATGATCAACCCTGCGTGTCGGAGGTAATCGCTCTACTAAGTACCCTTCTAGTTTATAAATTGCTTTTACACAGGTGACAGATTAACGAGTGTAAAGGAAGTAATATATATATATATATATCCGTAGTGATACACGTATTTAAATAACAGCTTAGGTTTAAGTAGAAAAAGGTAATTGTTTTAAATCAACAGTTCTGAACATGCTAATCTCATGCTCTTTTTGAAATACTGAAGTTAATTTACACCGGAATTGTATCATAGAGTTTACGGTTGTGTTTGTATAAACCTACACATGATCCTTGATATTGTGTTTGTATAAACCTACACATGATCCTTGATACCTAAATTTAGTTATCGAATCGTAGATCCGATGTATTTACCCCAAGCACACTGGAGACTGTCATTCATAGACTAATTCATAGAATTTACGGTTGTGTTTGTATAAGCCTACACATGATCCTTGATATTGTGTTTGTATAAACCTACACATGATCCTTGATATTGTGTTTGTATAAGCCTACACATGATCCTTGATACCTAAATTTAGTTATCGAATCGTAGATCCGATGTATTTACCCCAAGCACACTGGAGACTGTCATTCATAGACTAGCAAGGAGTGCTGCATTTGCGAGATTCTGTTTTTAAGTATGAAATAAAAAAAAAATGGCTAAGCTTATGGTTATAATTCTTTAACTGTTTAAGTCTCAAAGCCTGTAAAGGGTAATTAACATGATAACGATAATTTCCACACGGAACATTTTTTTTCCACTTTAGGGGTGAAAGTAAGTGGTAAATAGTTTTAATTCATATTGTAAATTATAGTTATCGGATAAAACTTGTTCTGGGGGAATGTCTATTCATATTGTAAATTATAGTTATCGGATAAAACTTGTTCTGGGGGAATGTCTATTCATATTGTAAATTATAGTTATCGGATAAAACTTGTTCTGGGGGAATGTTTAATAATTTCAGCTTTATTTTGAAAACCTAAATATGAACCGACAATATTGAAATCCTAAACGTAAGAGGGGATAAAGTTATCGAAATGAGACTATAAACCTTTGAAAGTTGATTTAGAATAACATTATATTTCAACACAAGTTTCAGAATTGTTTTCACTACTATGTCGTTTCGTGCCATTGTGCTCACATGAGCTTCTTGTTTTTTAACCCCCAGTATTTCATACCATTCTCAACTTATATTACTTTGATATTTTATCATGAAATACTACATGAAGATATTTTCCTGCTAAAATCTCGTTCGAACACTCAAGCTGTGTATTGGATCATTGCAGATTATGTGGAAATTTCGGCGCTTCTTTTTCAGTAGTGGATTCTCTTTTATAGAATAATGCTGTTCAAAGGTCATATATTCAATTAGAATCATAACGTACATGAAATTATTTTATTGCCAGTAATCAGACAATCTGAAATGGCTCTCTATAATTAATTTATTGCATATACATTTTTTCGTTGCGCACAACAACACCTTTTCCGGATAAATTGTAAACGCCCGCGATTTTGTTTTTTCCATTAGACCTAAAACGTTGGTAATGATTAGCTAATAAAACCATATAAATGGTTTTCGGTTTCGGTCACAGTATACTTTAGAACAATAGGTGTTCTACTTACTATTTACATCATTCGCAGTATACTTTAGAACAATAGGTGTTCTACTTACTATTTACATCATTCGCAGTATACTTTAGAACAATAGGTGTTCTACTTACTATTTACATCATTCGCAGTATACTTTAGAACAATATGGGTTCTACTTATTATTTACACCATTCGCAGTATACTTTAGAACAATAGGTGTTCTACTTACTATTTAAATCATTCGCAGTATACTTTAGAA